TGTGGAGGAGGGAGAGACTGCAGGAAACCAACATTTACATTGCTTTCAAGAAACCATTTTTTTATTACTAAGATCCATGAGAGAGGTGGTTTCCTGCAGCTACAGCCCTTATTATGGTGTGGCAAGTTCAAAGCATCCCAAGAGAGGTTCAGTAGGGAAATACCCCAGGATTAGGAGGTCATGGAGTGGGATAGCTTGGAAAATATATGTGTGTGCATGTGGAGCTGCTGCAGCACCTTTGCTCAGCCACAGGAGCCATGAGGAAAGACTCAACAATGCTCCTTGGCCTCTCTGCTCAATTCTGCAACATTTTGGGGCAGAAAACAATGATTTAGAGCTTGGTTGGGCCATGGCCAGCCTGGGTGGCTTCCTGCAGCAGGACCCAACCATGGCACATTCAGGGCCATATTCATGTTGCTCTGACTTGGTTTATTTTTAATTCCTCCAGCAAGTTGACACCTGGTTCTCAGTCCCTGCCTGGCCAGTGCTGGCTGCATTTCACTGGGGTTTGCTGGGGGTGTTCCCAGCTCGCAGGGCCAACTGTGCTGGAGCCAGCACTGCCCACCAAAGGAGGGAACCAGTTCCTGGGGCAGGACAGAGACTGGGATTTGTTGTTTGCTCCCTCTGAGATTGGAAACAACAAAATCACAAGTCTTCCGGCCTGCCCCAGAGCTGACAGAGGAGGGGCGGTCCAGAGACACTCACTGGAGCTGTCCCGGGACAGAGGAAGGGAGAGGGGAGGCATTTTGGCACCTGCCCTTCCCTCCAGGTCTGCTGGGCCTCTGTGTGGCCCCACGTAGGATCAGGCCTGGCTGGTGCCCCTGAGCTGGCACCCACAGGTCCACCAAGAGCTGTGTCACCCACGAAGCCCAATGGATTTCTAATGTGCACTGGGAAAGGGTCCAGGGTGCCCAGGGGCTTTGCAGCCCTTGGCTGCTCCTGGCAGTAGTGACACGAGGCCAGTGGTTGTCCCCAGTGTTAGTGATGGGGCTGAGCCTGAGCTTTGCCCCCATCTCCTGCCCAGGACAGCTCCAGCCCAGCTCTGCTGAGGACAGATGAGAAGCCCCCCCTCTCCCCACGCTGCCCTGGGAAGGGGTTCTGCTTTTGGCAGATTTTGCAGTGCTGGGACCTTACATCGTGCCCCGGTCCTGTTCCTGTTTCCCTGGCTGTCCTGGGGGGAACATCCCCAGCCTCGCTGTCTCCGTTTCCCTGCCCGTGAGCCACATCTGGAATGCAGCTGTGAGATGGCTCCTCTGCAAAAGTTATTGCTGCTCTTTCATCCCAGCAAAGAGAGCAGAAAGTGGTGAAGGTAAAAGTGGCTGAGGCTGCTGCCCTGAGGGCTCTGGGCTGCTGCAGGTTCCCACCTTGGTGCTGCCCTGGAGATAAGCCCCCAGTTATCAAGGGGAGCGGAAGAGGGGAAACAAAGCATGAGGAAAAGCAGGAGGGACACCAGGGCTGGCATAGGGGAGGGATCAAGGCATGTCCCTTGATCCCTCAATGCTGCTGCCACGTGCAAGGGCTCCAGCAGAGCCAAGTGTGGAGCTGGTGGTGCCTTTGCTGTGTGTCTGCAGAGGCAAACACTCCACCATGCAGCTCACACCCCACGTGCACCGCACTGCACACCTGGCACCATGTTCCCATATCCCCATATCCCTGTACCCCCACGTTCTCATTTCCCCATATTCCTGTATCCCCATACCCACATATCCCCGTTACCATATCCCCATATCCATGTATCCCCCTGTTCCTGTATCCCCATATCCGTGTATCCCCATGTTACTGTATCCCTGTGTCCCCATATCTCTGTATCACCATCTTCCTGTGACCCATATCTGTGCATCCCTCACCCCTGTATCCCCATTCCCATGTTCCTGTGTCCGTGTTCTCATATCCCCCTGTGTATCCCCATTCCTGTGTCCCCATACTCATGTATTCCCCATCCCTGTATCCCTCCATCCCCATATCTGTATATGCCCGTTCCCATATCCCCATATCCGCGTATTCCCCTGTTCCCCTATCCGTGCCCCCTGTATCCCCGTGTCCCCATATCCCTGTATCCTCATGTTCCCATATTGTGTATCCCCGTCCTTGTATCCCCCTGTTCCCATGTTCCCGTGTCCATGTATCCCCACGTTCCCCTGTACCTGTGTATCCCCCTGTCCCTGTATTCCCGTATCTCCCTATCCGGGTATTCCTGTACCCCCACGTTCCCATGTTCCCACATCCCA